TGGACCGTGTCGATTACCAAAGAAAAATGGAGTGCATCCTCAGTGACCCTAGCAAGTTTTTGCTAGAAAAGACGTGATGAACTGGAGCGGAAAATCGCCTCCGAAGTTCAGCCCTTATTGGAGGGGCGTTTCATTGACGAGAACACCGCCCAAGCTCTGAAGTCTAGATGAACTCATATTCCACGACTTTATGGCCTACCAGACGTGCCTCTCCAAACGGAAGATGCTAATCGACTTTCTGTGTTTGATCACCGATGTCTCCGAAGCATTGCTCGTGTCTGGTGGGAACACCGGGTGAGCAATGACGAGGTTCGTCGTCGGGTGTTTGGTGCAGATAGTCGCCCTCTAACAGAAGCAATCGCTCTACACCGCCTCCGATGGCTGGGTCACGTATTGCGTATGCCTGCCCATCGACTTCCTTTCCGTGCTCTCTTTGCACGTGCCGGGCAAGGCTGGAAGAAGCGGCGCGGCGGTCAGACGATGACATGGGCTAGAGGCATGAAGAAGCTGTATTTTGTATTTTCCATGTTTAACTGTCTCACCCACTTTTCACCATGCTCTGCATCTTAATCCACCTATCCCCTTTCACTGTCATTGTTGTTGCGTTGACACCATGCTTGTTTTCAAGCCGGTGGTAAATATATATATATATATATTTATATACCAGACGTGACACTCAGGCCAATCCTGTCCACAACGAACTCATCACAACACAAAATGGCCAAATTGCTGGTCAGTGTGTTAGAAACAATTTACAGATCGATGGTAAAACATACCGTCAAGGACATATTTGAATTGATCGACAAGATTAAACGTTGAAGAAAAACACATGGCTTCATTCGATGTCCAATCCCTATTTACCAATGTACTAGTTCGTGAAGTCATAAAAATCATTTGCGATCATATAGAGAATGATCAAATCCGAGTGAATCTACCAGTATCAATCGTTGAGCATTTATTACTATTCTTCACAACCAATGTGTCTTTCACTTCTCAAGGAAGTGCGTGCAGGTAAATTGATGTTGTCGCTATGGGAAGCCCGCTAGGCCCAGTCCTGGTAAACTTGTTTGTGGCACATCTCGTTCACAAGGCAAATAACATTCTAGAACTTGCCGTCCTTTACAAACAACACCCTTCTCATAACAGAAAGCCTAGAAGTAGCTACATTAATCCTCGATGAACTTAATATTTTACATCCAAATATTTGCTTCACGATTGAATCCGAAGCTAACAACACATTGCATTTCCTTGACATCAGCATGACTTGAAGAGAAGATGGAACGATCGTCCGATCCGTTTACTAAAAGGATACCTGGAAAAGCCAATATCTACACTTCGAAAGCTTTGTGCCCCTGGAGTATAAACGTGGTCTTGTTCGGACGCTATTCAACAGAACGAGGCGGATCTGCACGGAAGATAAAATTGAACAAGAACTACAAAACCTTCGGGATATTCTAGCAGAAAACGCTGACCCCGAAGCGTTCGGTAATAAACATAGCAAACCAAGAATTGTAAAAGAAACGATTACGTCAGCTACAAAACTACAAGTCACGTTGTGCCTCCAGTTCAAAGGTGATGACGTAAGCTATTTGCTCAAAAAACGACTGAAATCGGCAATAGCTCGAACCTACTATTTAGCTGATCCCAAAATCGTCTATCGGATAATTAGAACACCCACACCCTCGGTAAAACGTCTGCCTCAGTACACCAACTTTAATCTGATCTATCAATTCCAATTTGGGTGCGGAGCGACCTACGTGGGCAGAACAGAGCGACAATTGCGTAACCGAGTGGCTGAACATATTCCGAACCGGGTTCAAGGTCAGATGGTACAATCCGGGTCAAGTCCGCGGCATAGAAACAGCGGTCGAAACTACAAGAATTCGTCATGGGCCATAGCGCGATATCTTCTGATGACGCAACACCAGATCGACCGAAGCACGGCGTTTCGGATTATCTACAAAT